TCTATCTGGTTTATTGTGTCATTTAAAGCTTGTGTTTCCTTATTAATTTTCTGTTTGGATGATCTGTCCATTGGTGTAAGTGAGGTGTTAAAAGTCCCCCACTATTATTGTGTTACTGTCTATTTCCTGTTTTATAGCTGTTAGCAGTTGCCTTATGTATTGAGGTGCTCCTATGTTGGGTGCATATATATTTATAATTGTTGTATTTTCTTCTTGGATTGATCCCTTGATCATTATGTAGTGTCCTTCCTTGTCTCTTGTAACATTCTTTATTTTAAAGTCTATTTTATCTGATATGAGTATTGCTGCTCCAGCTTTCTTTTTATTTCCATTTGCATGGAGTATCTTTTTCCATCCCCTCACTTTCAGTCTATATGTGTCCCTAGGTCTGAAGTGGGTCTCTTGTATACAGCATATATATGGGTCTTGCTTTTGTATCCATTCAACGAGCCTTTGTCTTTTGGTTGGAGCATTTAGTCCATTCATGTTGAAGGTAATTATCGATATGTATTACCATATTCTTAATTGTTTTGGGTTTGTTTTTGTAGGTCCTTTTCTTCTCTTGTGTTTCCCACTTAGAGAAGCTCCTTTAGCATTTGTTGTAGAGCTGGTTTGATGGTGCTGAATTCTCTTACCTTTTGCTTGTTTGTAAAGCTTTTGATTTCTCCATTGAATCTGAATGAGATCCTTGCCGGGTAGAGTAATCTTGGTTGTAGTTTCTTCCCTTTCATCACTTTAAGTGTATCATGCCACTCCCTTCTGGCTTGTAGAGTTTCTGCCAAGAAATCAGCTGTTAACCTTATGGGAGTTCCCTTGTATGTTATTTTTCCCTTGCTGGTTTCAATAATTTTTCTTTGTCTTTAATTTTTGCCAATTTGATTACTATGTGTCTTGGCCTGTTTCTTCTTGGGTTTTTCCTGTATGGGACTCTCTGCACTTCCTGGACTTGGGTGGCTATTTCCTTTCCCATGTTAGGGAAGTTTTCTAGTATAATCTCTTCAAATATTTTCTCGGGTCCTTTCTCTCTCTCTCCTCCTCTGGGACCCCTATAATATGAATGTTGATGCGTTTAATGTTGTCCCAGAGGTCTCTTGGGCTTTCTTCATTTCTTTTCATTCTTCTTTCTTTATTCTGTTCCACAGCAGTGAATTCCACCATTCTGTCTTTAGGTCACTTATCTGTTCTTCTGCCTCAGTTATTCTATTGATTCCTTCTAGGGTATTTTTCATTTCAGTTATTGTATTGTTCATCTCTGTTTGTTTGTTCTTTAATCCTTCTAGGTCTTTGTTAAACATTTCTTGCATCTTCTCGATCTTTGCCTCCATTCTTTTTCTGAGGTCCTGGATTTTCTTCACTATCAGTATTCTGAATCCTTTTTCTGAAAGGTTACCTATCTCCACTTCATGTAGTTGTTTTTCTGGGTTTTATCTTGTTCCTTCATCTGGTACATAGCCCTCTGCCTTTTCATCTTGTCTATCTTTCTGTGAATGTGGTTTTTGTTCCACAGGCTGCAGGATTGTAGTTCGTGCTTCTGCTGTCTGCCCTCTGGTGGATTAGGCTATCTATGAGGCTTGTGCAAGTTTCCTGATGGGAGCAACTGGTGGTGGGTAGAGCTGGCTGTTGCTCATGTGGGCAGAGCTCGGTAAAACTTTAATCTGCTTGTCTGCTGATGGGTGGGGCTGGGTTCCCTCCCTGTTGTTTGTTTGGCTTGAGGGGACCCAACACTGGAGCCTTCCCCGGGCTCTTTGGTGGGGCTAATGGCAGACTCTGGGAGGGCTCACGCCAAGGAGTACTTCCCAGAACTTCGGCTGCCCGTGTCCTTGTCCTCACAGTGAGACACAGCCCCCCCCCACCTCTGCAGGAGACCCTCCAACACTAGCAGGTAGGTCTGGTTCAGTCTCCTATGGGGTCACTGCTCCTTCCCCTGGGTCCCGATGTGCACACTACTTTGTGTGTGCCCTCCAAGAGTGGAGTCTCTGTTTCCCCCAGTCCTGTTGAAGTCCTGCAATCAAATCCTGGTAGCCTTCAAAGTCTGATTCTCTAGGAATTCCTTCTCCCATTGCCGGACCCCCAGGTTGGAAAGCCTGACATGGGGCTCAGAACCTTCACTCCAGTGGGTGGACTTCTGTGGTATAAGAGTTCTCCAGTTTGTGAGTCACCCACCCAGCAGTTATGGGATTTGATTTTATTGCGATTTCACCCCTCCTACCGTCTCATTGTGGCCTCTACTTTGTCTTTGGATGTGGTGTATCTTTTTTGGTGAGTTCCAGTGTCTTCCTGTCTATGATTGTTCAGCAGTTAGTTGTGATTCTGGTGCTCTCACAGAGGGAGTGAGAACACGTCCTTCTACTCCACCCAATTTTTGCTGTTCTTATGGTTGCCATCATTTTAGCCAGTTTGGTGGGTATTAGTTTGCATTTCTCTGATGACTTATTTGAACACCTTTGCATGTGTTCACTGGCCATTTGCATATTCTGTTAAGTTTCTATTCAAAGTCTTTTGCCCATTTTCCTGTGTTTTGATTTATTTCTATATACAGGTCCTTTGTCAGATAACATTGTGGGAGCATACTGTGGGTTGTCTTTTCACTCAACTATGTTTTGCTAGACAAAAGTTCTTAATACACTCTAATCTAAAATTTTGTTATTTATGCCTGTCACTTTTGTGACCTACTTAAGAAATTATTGCCTGCTCCAAGGTCATGAAAAATATTTTTGCCTTTTACACTTAGATATGAAATCTATCTAGAATTGATTTGTTTGTGTGTGTGGTGTGACATAGGGGTCAGGACACTTTTCCCCCACATGAAAATCCAGTTGAGTCAATGAGTACAGCAGGTGGATTATACTCCTGACTCAGTGGAGGTGACAAGTGTTCTCATCACGTACTTGTATTCAAAGTGGGGTGAGTTTTTAGTTCAGTGTCTGTGCGGTGACATCATTTGGCTTTCCCTTGGCACCATCAATTCTGCATTTTAGCTCAATGTTGTTAGCTCTAATTAGCCCATGATAATTCTAAAGGGAATCAGGTGCAAATATGATTCCAAAGGTGTGTAGGTACAAGTATGGAGACTTTGTGATAATATCTTCATTTTGTATGCTTAACATGATGTGACAGTAATACTTCATCTTCTCTGTGCCAGCTCTTGTAATAGAAAATTTATACAATCTCTCATTTATTTCCCACAGTAACCATGTAGGGTAGAGTTTCCATTTTGGCTGTGTCACTTTTAGTGGACAGAGCACCATTCAGGTTAACCCGTGAGAGGCTAACTGTAAGGAGAGATGGAAGGGATCATTCTTGGGGAGTAGTCAGTGCCAAGCCCAGCCTCTCTCTGGGTGCCTCTGCCTCTGAGGCAGCTTCTGCAGACTTGTCACATGGGATGAACCCTAACTAGATTTAAGGGCTGTGAGCAGAGTAGTCCCCCTTGGGAAGGGAACAAGGACTAGTGGGTTCCATGAAACACCTGTGTAACTCATTCTAGTGCCCATTTTACAGATGATCAGACCTGACTGTAGAAAAGCTCAGAAACTCGCTCAAGGCTGCAGAGTTAGTGAGGGCAGAACCTCTCTGAAGTCAAAGCCCAGACTCTGCTTGGTTCATAGAAGTTGTAACTTGGCTAGAGAATTCAATAATTTAAGCATTATATGTCAGAAAAGAATTCATGTATTTTCTTAGCTTTGCATGGTAGGTCTTTCTATCAGTTTAGATTATGAGGAATATATTTAAATTTAAGTAGTTAATGCTACTTCCCATAGGGGTGATTGACTGTACTGTAAACCACTTTGCATATTTCTAATTTTAAAATTTTTATCACAGTATCAAATTATTAAAACCAGTACCTATAAATCATTGGATTAAAGTTGTCATACATTGATGATGAACCTATTTTGTCAGTTACAACGTGTTTTACTTCAAGTTAACATCTCTGTTTTCATCTGTCAGCACTCTTACTTACTGACTAGGGGTTAGATGCCAAGAAAAGTGCCAGACTGTCTCATCCTTCCAGAAAATTAAGAAGGAAATCTTTTCTGGGTGTGTGCAGACACCAGTAATACAAACTATTTTTTTTCCTCTTAGAGTTTGATTGTGAAGTTGCCCAGAGATGCTCTTTTAATAGTTCTAATTTCCTTATCTGTAAAAGTGTGTGACCTGCAAGGTCCCTTATGGTTCTTAAATCTTAAGATTCATAGTAAATCAACTATACTTCAATTTTTTTAAAAAATTGAATAAAAATCAACAAAAAGAAGAAGAAAATCAAAGATTCATTTAGGCAAAATTATGTCAACCAGAGGCCCAAAGCCCTCATAGCTGTTTACTTCCTTTTATTTGAAGCTTGGAGTGAAAGTTGGTGTGGTATGTTATTACAAGGACAATGCGGACAGCCCTTAAATATTCCTATTTGCTGGAATATACCTGCCACTAGAAGCGGCCACCCTGGGACAATCCCTGTGTGGGAGAAAACAGACAATAAGACATTCAGCTGGGTTGGGACATGAGGCAGGATCCAGACAAGCAGAAGGCTGTGTGGGATGCTGCAGAGGGTGCATGTGGTTGAAGTCTGCCTTCCGGAGGTGATTGGTGATGGCGTCACAGAGGAGGGGGGCCTGAACAGTCACTGGCAGGTAAGGGTAGGGTTGAGTATAGATCTTTGTTTCTTAAAGCAGAAGAGTTAAAATGCAGATTCCTGGGCTCCCCTCATTTACTGAATCAGCTTAAGGGGTGGGGCCTGAGGATTGTTTTAACAAGCTTCCCAGGTGACAGGCACACTGCAGATGCCCAACAGCCTGCATGGGGGATGGACTGACGCGAGCAAGGGCTGTGCAGCGGGAAGAGACAGCACGTCCAGCCAGTCACCGCATTTATTACGCCCCTTATGAAGGTTCTAATTTTGAGTGTGGCTGATTTTTTTCCACAGGAAGATAAGAAACGGACCTAGAGAATGAAGAAGAAAGACATTCTTCAAAGTAACTTACAGAATGTTTGGTGTATATTTTCAGCTCTCCTTGGCTAGACGGCAGATACTTCTGTTAGAAACGCTGAAAGTGAAACAGGGCATCCTGGACCCAATCCCTGCTGCGTTGAAGTTGCCCATTGCCGTCAGCTGCTACTGGGTGCAGCACACGGAGGCCAAGGCAAAGCTGCATCATCTGCAGGCCTTACTGCTGGGGATGCTGATGGGACCCTTACATGCCATGATCAACAGCCCTGGTAGGTATCTGGAAGTCCCCAGAGTATGTTTTTGCATGTTACTTGCATGTAATCAAACGTTTAAACAAACAAACAAAAATTCTCGGATTATTTACTTCCATCAGTTGTATCAACTTAGAAGTGGGGCACCAAAATGTCACTCATTCCTTGTAGATCTTTCTGAGTGCTTCGTGTACCAGGTCAGTGCTGGAGGGCTTGACCTCAAGGGCACAGCAGTGAAGGTGTGCCGATGCTGCCTCACCCACCTGTCCTGTGGCACTTGACGCTCAGTCTGTAAAGCGTGACCATGATGTACATTTTGTGCTCTGTGTTCCCTGTCCTCCTCTTCAGTGCAGCAGCAGCATCTCCCCTGGAGACTTAAGTAAAATTGCCCATTGGTGAAACTTAAGAATACCTACAATTACTGTAAACATTCATGCTTGTGCAGTTTTGTGTTATTTTTTTACTTTCTTTTTTCCCCACTGTAAGTTTCAATTAGTATATGAGTTGTGATGGTAGAAATGGTAACTTCTGTTTCTATTAGAGAAATACACTTTGAGGCAGTTTCATCTTTATTTAAACATCAGGTGAAATGATGCATTGGAGCACTTCAATCCTGTAATGGGATTATTCTCTTTACAAAATTATGAATGCTTTATCCAAACATGTATAATAGTTGTCACACTCTAGAACAGTACTAATGTGATAGCTACTAGCCACAGGTGGCTATTTAAAATTTAAAATTCAGCTTCTCAATGCACTTGCCACATTCCAAGTGCCCAGCAGCCATAGGTGGCTAGAGGCTGCTGTACTAGACAGCACAGATGTAGAACATTCCCATCACTGCAGAAAGTTCTGGATAGCACTACTCTGGCATTTACTGTTTAAAATAAGTTCATGAAAGGATAAGCCAGCACAGACTCCAGGACACCCCAAAGTGGGAGAGCAGCTGTCAGAAGGGACTGTTGCACAGCAAGTTAAGTTCTGGCCCACTGCTGGTTAGGACACAAGTTTAGGGTGTTTCCTCTTATTGAACATAAATATAGTTTAAGAAAATTCTCAGAGCACCAGTCTATTAAGTTTTTACCAGAGTCCAACAGAAGGGGCATGTCAAGGGTCTGTTTCTTTTCTTTTAGGAATGTGGACCCCACACCCAGGCAGGCTCAGTGCCTTGCTGCTCGCTCATTGGTAATAGGTGGGCCTCCTTTTCCTTCCTTCCAGGTTTGTCCGGAAGGCAGGCTGCACGTGGAGCCGGGAACAGGCAGGTTTCCTGGGGTGGCTGCTGCTTTGTCCTCCACCACTGAGGAAGTGGCTGATTTGCACCATTCTCTATGAGTCATACTCTTATTCTCTTCCCATAAAACAGAAGTTAAAGCGTGTTTTGAACACACGGCTGTTTCTTTAAGGAAATGTAGTGAAATAGAACAGTAGAGAGAAGGGGATTTTTCATAGAGACAGATTTAGGGTTTGGAGAGTTCAGATGCAGATGTGTTTAAAGTCAGGTAGTAGATTAGAGGAAGAGATACTATTTTAAGGAAAAAGATAAAGAATTTGGGGTTGAATAAAGTTAGGTTGTCATTAAAAGGGCATCTCAGGGGCTTCCCTGGTGGCGCAGTGGTTGAGAGTCCGCCTGCCGATGCAGGGGACACGGGTTTGTGCCCCGGTCCGGGAAGATCCCACATGCCGGGGAGCGGCTAGGCCCGTGAGCCATGGCCGCTGAGGTTACGCGTCCGGAGCCTGTGCTCCGCAACGGGAGAGGCCACAACAGCAAGAGGCCCACATACCGCAAAAAAAAAAAAAAAAGAGGGCATCTCAGTATAAATATTTCAGTTTATACAATGAAAGGCTTTTACACTGATATGAAAATAGAAAAGAGCCAAAAAAGAAAAGCATTTTGGTTATTCACTTTTTTCTTTATGGAATTTGAAGTTTTATATATGGATAAAATTACAAGGTGATACAGTGTTTTTGGAAATACTGCCCTTGGGTCGTGTCTTTATCTAGATGAGGAAGCTCTGCAGGGCGGTGGTGCTGAGATGCTGTATGAAGAGCTGCAGAGAGTAAAGGCACAGCCGGGCCTGAGGCTGGACTTAGACACAGCTCATGTCTTCTGTCAGTGGCAGTGCTGCCTGCAGATGGGGCTGTATCTCAACCAACTGCTGTCCACACCTCTCCCAGAGCCAGACCTAACTCGGTAAGCACCCAGGAAACTAGTGCAGGTGGCTGCATGTAGAAGTAAATACTTCCGTTTACATTTAACGCAAATAAGTTTTTTTTAAAACAATCAAACTTAGTATATAACTGGTCTTGGATCACTGTTAAAGCTGAAGAGCTGTAATATTAAATTTTTAAAATATTAAATTCCATTTTTCCAAAGAAAGTTTCCATGATTTTTTAAAGTTTTCCAAATTTAAAAAAATAGGTTCATTAAAATAAAAATAAGAGGCAGTTGTTGGTAGAATATAGCTCT